AAAAAAAGTTAAAAAAGGAGGCAAAAAGAGGTGAAAAAAGTGACGACAAAAAATACAAAAAGTGAGATACGATAAAAGGCTCAAAAAATTTGACAATACAAAGCAAAAAAAAAACGAAAATAAATTGTGCCAAAAACATAAAAAAAATAAGAAAGCCAGCAACAAATTTGTAAAAACCTCGAAAAAAAAGGCAAAAAAAAACTAAAAGAACTTATAAAAACACGACAAAATGTGCCAAATATGATAATAAAAAGGGCGATTAAAAGAAGGCAAAAAAATGACAAAAAAAAAAGCAAAAAAAAACAAAAAAAAAGTTAAAAGGCAACAAAAAAGGGAGCCAAAAATTGTACAGGGGTAAAAAACCACACAAAAACCGCAAAAGAATCACGACAAAAAGTTCCGTAGAAGAGGCGACAAAAAATGGTACGTGCAAAAAAAACTCAATAAAAAGCGACAAAAAAGCTATACAAAAAGGACAAAAAAAAAAGAAAAACATCAAAAGCATAAAAACATCACAATAAAACCTGCATAAAAAAGTGCCAAAACTGTAAAAAAACGACAAAAAAATATTGAAGCTCTCCAAAAAAAAAAAAACAAGGACAAAAGAAAGAGGCAAAAAATAAACCTGTAAAGAAAGGAATAAAGAATTTAAGAAAATGATGAAAAAAAGCTGTAAAAACGTAACAAAAAAGACGCCATAAAAATCACACAAAGCGATTAACAAAACAAAGCAACAAAAAAAACAAAAGAGACTTACAAAAGGAGGCAAAAAAAAGAGTCCAAAAAAGGACAAAATATGGGTGGAAAACGCGAGAAGGTCACAAAAAACGCTAAGAGAATAGAGACAAAAAAAATGGTTAAAAACATAGGCAGAAAGAAAGCGTCAAAAAGTCTATAAAAAGGGATAAAAAAGACAAAAAAGAGGCGAAAAAGGTCTATACAGAAAGGGATTAAAAAAAATCAAAGAGTGTGATACGACAAATCACCCAAAAAATTTGACAAAAAAAGCAAAAAAAAAAAACAAAAAAATTGTGCCAAAAAACCCCCAAAAAAGATAAGAAAGCGAGCAAAAAATTTGTAAAACCCTGAAAAAAGTTAAAAAAGCGGAAAAAAGGGGACCAAAATTATAAAAAACGTATACATGTTAAAAAAAAACGTATAAATGTAAGAAAAAAGACCCCATAAAAGGTCACAAAAAATTAAAAAACAGCTACAAAAAAGACAAAAAAAGGCGACAAAGAAAGATTTACAGAAGGAGGCAAAAAAAGCAAAAAAAAAGGAAAAAATGAGTAAGAAACGCGAGAAGAAGACGACAAAAAACGTTAAAAAATGGCGACAAAAAATAATTCAAAAAAAGGCAGAACGAAAGCGCTAAAAAGTTTATGAAAATTATAAAGAAAAGGACAAAAATTCAAAAAAGGTCAAAAAATGATGACAAAAAAAGACAAAAAAATGTGATAAGACAAAAGGGCCCAAAAAATTTGACAAACAAAGCAAAAAAAAACAGCAAAAAAATGGGCCAAAAACTACAAAAATCATAAAAAAAACGAGCAAAGAAGTTGTAAAAACCTAGAAAAAAAAGGTCCGAAAAAAGGAGACCAAAAAGTATAAAAAACGCCGAAATGTGGAAAAAATGATAGAAAAAAGGGCGATTAAACGAAACCACAAAAAAACAAAAAAGTTAAAAGGCAACAAAAAAGGGGGCGAAAAAACGTTGACAGGACAGGGGTAAAAAACCACAAAAAAAAACGGGAAAAGAAAGACGACAAAGAGATCCGAAGAAAAGGCGACAAAAAATGGTACGTGCAAAAAACTCAATAAACAGGATTAAAAAAACTATACAGAAAGGACAAAAAAAAACTATAAAGAAAGAAGAAGGTTTAGAAAAGACGACAAATAAAGACATGAAAAAGTCCATTAAACAGGGTGAAAAACGCAACAAAACACAGTCACAAAAAATATGTCAAAAATGTGACATAAAAAAGGAAAAAAAAACAGACAAACACCAAAGCGTAGAAAACATCACAATAAAACCTGCATAAAAAAGTAGCGAAAAATATATCAAAAAAGAAAACGACAAAAAAATGGTGAAGCTCTACAAAAAAAACAAGGACAAAAGAAAGAGGCAAAAAATAAACCTGTAAAGAAAGGAATAAAGAATTTAAGAAAATGAAAAAAAGCGGTAAAAATGTAACAAAAAAGACGCCATAAGAATCACAAAAAAGGCGATTAACAAAACAAAGCTACAAAAAAAGGAAAAAACAAGGATGGAAAACGCGAGAAGAAGGCCACAAAAACGCTAAGAAAATAGCGACAACAAATGGTTGAAAACAAAAGCAGAAAGAAAGCGCCAAAAAGGGATAAAAAAGACAAAAACTATAAAAAAAAGTTAAAAAAGAGGCGATAAAAGGTCTATACAGAAATGGATAAAAAAAATCGCAGGAAAAAAATGATGATAAAAAAATACAAAAAGTGTGATACGACGAAACGCCCAAAAAAATTTGACAAAAAGGCAAAAAAAAAACGAAAAAAAAAATTGTGCCAAAAAACCTACAAAAAAGATAAGAAAGCGAGCAAAACAGTAGTAAAACCCCGAAAAAAAGCCAAAAAATCGAAAAAAAAGCGACCAAAACTATAAAAACAGTATAAATGTAAGAAAAAGACCCCATAAAAACACACAAAAAAAAATAAAAAACAGCTACAAAAAAGACAAAAAAGGAAAAAACGAGTAAAAAACGCGAGAAGTAGACGACAAAAAACGTTGAAAATAGCGACAAAAAATAATTCAAAAAAAAGCTGAAAGAAAGCACCAATAAGTCTATGAAAAGTTATAAAGAAAAGGATAAAAATTCAAAAAAGGTTAAAAAAGGAGGCACAATCGGGGCGAAAAAGGCACAGATAGGGATAAAAAGATTCCAAAAAAAAAAAAAAAGATGACAAAAAAAATGTGATAAGACAAAAGGGTCCAAAAAGTTTGACAAAAAGAGCAAAAAAAATAGCAAAAAAATGTGCCAAAAACAGCAAAAAAACATAAAAAAAACGAGCAAAAAAGTTGTAAAAACCTCGAAAAGAAAAAGTCCGAAAAAAGAAGACCAAAAAGTATAAAAAAATGACGAAATGTGGCAAAAAAGATAGAAAAAAGGGCGATTAAAAGAAGCCGCAAAAAAGGAGAAAAAAAACTACAAAAAAGGTAAAAAGGGTTTTGAACTGAATTGAAATTTTATTGGTGTATAGTACAAATAGATTAAAATAAACTAATATATAAAGAAAAGGGTAAAAAAACGCGCAAAAAAGCTACAAAAAATGACGACAGAACATGAAAAAAGGCTACAAAAACTTATACAAAAAGTGGTGTAAAAAAGTCCATAAAAAAGCGACAAGCAACAGGAGAAGAAAAGATTATAAAGAAAGGAGGAAAACAACAAAAAATGATTCGATATGAACATATTTAATAACACACTACTTAGAGACCCAGGCGAAGACATTAAATTGCCTATTTAATTGATAAATTTGAGCAACTTTATTTTTACATCTATAAATCTCATTGATTCTCTAAGCCACCACTAAAATGAGCACAGATATTGAAATTAAGTCCTACAAGATCCTGTTTGGAATGATTTTAATAATGTTAGTTTTCTTAACAAATGGCCCCGGGATAAATTACTTTAGGAATATTCATTTAAATAAATCTTAAGCAACTTGTACACAAAGAATTAAATTCAGGAAAGACTAACGTGCTTTTGAAACTTTGTTTGGGTTTTCTTTACTAGTAATGATCCTCCCGTCGTGCCTTCGTTAAAATAATTCTTAAAAACTTACGCCGTACAGTTAGAAAGGTATTGCCTTTAGCGCAGAACTTTGCAGTCTTTTTGTTCACTAATCTTCTTTTACTAAGATATATTACACTTTTCTCTGTTTACATGTTTTTTTTATCCCCACAAATAATGTATTTATCCCCACGAAAGGTAGTCACGCTATTTCAGAAAGTTATTGTAGCAGAATTCCAACAAATCGTTTGAAGTAAAATTAGCGACTAATTGAAAAACCTAAATTTTCAGGGAACGTTTGATGTCACCATCATTCATGTGTAGACACTCTTTAATTTACAACAACCGTGTTGCTCACGCTGTAACTCAAACTACATTTATGAAATTTATATTTGTTGCCTCGCAGCGATCCGTCCTGAATGTTTAACTTCAAAACTGTACCTAACTGTGTTTTGACTGGAATATCCATCTAAATTGCTAGTTTAGTTATTTCGAATTCCTGCTTACAATAATGTAATTGCCGCTAAAGTGCAAAGTTGTGATCCGTTTCGAGCAAACAGTGCATATATTTTTAAACAACACACACAACACATACTGAGCAAGAAAACACCAACCAGCTTCGCAATACCAACACGGAATTTAATTAATGTTTATGTTCGTCAACAGCGACTCCTAGAACGGGAATCAAATTGTACACAGGTGTTCTCTGGAACTTATCCCTGTAATTTTCGTTTTGTAGTTGTCAGCGTTATTATTACTGCAAATATAAAGTTTAGAGTCTTACTGAACAGATTTGTGTCAGTGTAATCGTAACCTGAATAGCCGGAGATATTCAGACCTTTAAGTAGATGAAATTGAGATTTGGAAAACTTAGAGCTTTTATGGAGCGCTTTTAACAGTACTAGGTGATTATTTAAAACGTGCAAAAAGGCGGCTAAAGCAAATTGTGGCGGAAAACACCCCGTTTATGACTGACATAAACTAAATCTCAGGCAAATTAAGTTGTTATAAAAGAGTCATAAAATTTCCGTTGGGTTTCACTGAATTTTTAATTATCTGTATCGCTGGTAGTTTGTATTTCATAAGTAAAAGAAATTTCTTTTACTTGCAACTGCATTGAAAACGTGTTTTTCTTACATCACGCAAGCTTTTCTCCCGGAAGTTGACGTTTCCTTGTGCACGAATAACTATACAAGAAGTATAAAAGATAATTTCAGAAGGCTAGGAACATACCCGTGCAAATTAATCCACTGCAGACTTCGCAGCTCTTTGAGGGCGACGAAAGGAACGCTGTCTAGTTGATTATAGCTTAGATCCAGCGAAGTGAGGCTTTTCCATAACGAGCTGGAACAAACATATTACCACGAGGTTGATAATTTAATAAGCACAGTAGGTACGTGCAAATTAAAAAAGGGACAAAGAAAACGGATTTAATTACCAAACTGGATGCTGTCCTTTTTGTTAATTAAAATTTCAGCAGTCGTCTCGGTGCTTTGGCGTTTTTAACAGAAACAATGTATGTTTAATGGAACATCTGAGAGATTAAATTGCGTAGGTGATACCGAATGTTTTGTAAAAATGGCGGATTCGGCTTTGAAGAGGGATAACGTTTTTCTGGATGTCAGAAATTACGGGTAGTGACAACGTAATGGACCAGTGAGACATATCTTTGTGAGTAAATGGAACGGCAAAAAACGGTAATGAAGCAAATGGACAAGTTAGAAGGATTTTTTTTGGTGGATATTTATAGAATTTTTTGTTTCAGGATCGGGGGTTTTAATCCATTTTCCCTCAGAAATACCTGACTTCACAAAAAAATTATTAAATATATCTCTTCGTAACACAGGTAAGTAGCTTTGTTAAACAAAAAAATGTACTTCGTGATGTCCCTAATATGACATTTCTGCTTTTCAGCGCTACTTAATGGACACATTTTAAAAAAATAAAATATTGAATAAAAAAGTGCTTAAAATTTCAATTGCATAAATATAAATCCAAAAAGTCCCTGATTCACCTTTATAAATTGTCGTTGGGATGATTTTTGAACTGTCATCAAGTTTCACTTCAAGAATTTTTAAAAATTCAGGAGGTTCCGGAAATTCCTCCCTTGAGCTTTCTAGTCGCAGTAGTTAATTTTCACTCCGGACTTTCAATTTATATAAGCTCCAGAGACGGATATATCGAACGGTGTTATTTTCCAGAGGGGCAGGTAACTCAAAAAAAATCAAGAGCGTCGTAAGAATTTTTCTGAACCCGCATTTCCCTTCCCGAGCTTTTTTGTTTGAAAATTCTATAACTGAAAAGTTCCAAACAAATTCCGGAGTATTCAGGAAATCAATTTATTTAGGGTTGAGAGTGAAAAGTTCAAAAAAATACAGAGGGCTCCGGGGACACTTTCTGAGTGCAGATTTTTGTTCCGGAGAAATTTTCGGATTGATCTGAAATTTTGGATTCCTGCTAATTTGGCGTTCAAAATTTCATTTCTATTATTAGTTGTTCGACATTCCTTCAATTTCTCCCCGAAATGCGCGTTTTCCGGACGTGAAAAACTGATTTTTGGGTTTAGGGACTGATAAATTCGAAACAGAAACACATGAACATTTGAGATTTACGTCAGTGGATTTCCTAGAATTTTCGAGTTACTATGATTAATTTTCAGCCAAAATTTTCAATTCGTTTAAGTGTCTGAGATGAAACTGTATCAATTCTCAGAAGGGTAGATTATTGAAAAATTCCAAAAAATTGACGAGTTTAGGGGCTGATAAATTCGAAACTGAAACACGTGTGGATCTGACCTTTGTCAATAAATTGTCTAGAATTTTTGAGTCGTAGTGATTAATTTTCAGCCAAGATTTTGACTTTGTTTAGGTTTCCGAGACGAACATATGAAACAGTTCAGTTTTTAGAAGGGTAGATTATTGAAAATTTCCAAAAAATTCAGGAGACTCCTCAGAGATCTTCTGAGCCTAAATTCTGTTTCAGGAGGTTTGAATGACTACTTTCATAAAGCTGCCTGTCCGTACAAGCGTGACGGTTTGAAATAATCGAAATTTGAAAATTTGACAATATGCAAATAATCTTAAAAAAATGAAAATTTCCAGATTACTGAAAAGTTTGAAAGAATTCAGGAGTGTTCTGAGCCTGAATTTTTGTACAGGAGGTTCAAATTAGTAAACGGAGGAAGTTTCAAGAAGGACGAAAATGACGAAGGACGAAAAGGGCCAAGGACAAAAAGAACGAAGGACGAAAAGGACCAAGGACAAAAAGAACGAAGGACGAAAAGGACGAAGGACGAAAATGACAAAGGACGAAAATGACGAAGGACGAAAATGAAGAAGGACGAAAATGAAGAAGGACGAAAATGACGAAGGACGAAAAGAACGAAACACGAAAAGGACGAAGGACGTAAAGGACGAAGAACGAACAGAACGAAGGACGAAAATGACGAAAGGCGAAAAGAATGAAGAACGAAAAGGACGAAGGACGAAAAGGACGAAGAACGAAAAGGACGAAAAAGGCGAAGGACGAAAAGGACGAAAAAGACGAAGGACGAAAAGGACCAAGGACAAAAAGGACCAAGGACCAAAAGGACGAAGGACGAAAAAAACGAAGGACGAAAAGGACGAAGGACGAAAGTGACGAAGGACGAAAAGGACCAAGGACAAAAAGAACGAAGGACGAAAAGGACGAAGGACGAAAATGACAAAGGACGAAAATGACGAAGGACGAAAATGAAGAAGGACGAAAATGAAGAAGGACGAAAATGACGAAGGACGAAAAGAACGAAACACGAAAAGGACGAAGGACGTAAAGGACGAAGAACGAACAGAACGAAGGACGAAAATGACGAAAGGCGAAAAGAATGAAGAACGAAAAGGACGAAGGACGAAAAGGACGAAAAAGGCGAAGGACGAAAAGGACGAAAAAGACGAAGGACGAAAAGGACCAAGGACAAAAAGGACCAAGGATAAAAAGGACGAAGGACGAAAAAAACGAAGGACGAAAAGGACGAAGGACGAAAGTGACGAAGGACGAAAGTGACGAAGGACGAAAGTGACGAAGGACGAAAATGACGAAGGACGAAAAGAACGAAGTACGAAAAGGACGAAGGACGAAGAGTACGAAGGCGAAAAGGACGAAAATGACGAAGCACGAAAATGACGAAGGACGAAAAAGACGAAAAAGACGAAGGACGAAAAGGACCAAGGACAAAAAGGACCAAGGACAAAAAGGACGAAGGACGAAAAAAACGAAGGACGAAAAGGACGAAGGACGAAAGTGACGAAGGACGAAAGTGACGAAGGACGAAAGTGACGAAGGACGAAAATGACGAAGGACGAAAAGAACGAAGTACGAAAAGGACGAAGGACGAAGAGTACGAAGGCGAAAAGGACGAAAATGACGAAGCACGAAAATGACGAAGGACGAAAAAGACCAAGGACAAAAAGGACGAAGGACCAAAAGGACCAAGGACAAAAAGGACGAAGGACGAAAATGACGAAGCACGAAAATGACGAAGGGCGAAAAGGACTAAGGACAAAAAGGACGAAGGACAAAAAGGACGAAGGACGGAAAGGACGAAGGACGGAAAGGACGAACGACGAAAAAGACGAAGGACGAATGTGTCCAAGGGCAAAAAGGACGAAGGACGAAATGGACGAAGAACAAGATGAGTGAAAAGGGTGAAGGACGAAAGTGACGAAAAGGACGATATTTCATTTCTACAATTAGTTGTTCGATATTCCTTCAATTTCACCAGGGAATGCTTATTTTCTGTATCCGAGAAACAGTTAGTTGTGGAGATTCGAACTTTACGTTAGTCGATTACAAGGAATTCTTCAGCCAGACTGGTTAATTTTCAGCCAGGATTTTCAATTCGTTTAGGTTCACGAAAATGTTACATGTAACAGTGTTAAATTTCAGAAATCTAGCCAACTGAAAAATTTGAAAAACCCCAGAGGGCTTCTAAAATATTTTATAAGTCTAAATTCTTATTCAGAAGATTTAAATTAGTTTGAGTTTTTGGATAGGGGATAAGCGACATCGGAAAATTTGACGATATGCAAATAAAAAATTTTCAAATGGACCTGAAATTTTTGGATTGTAATTAAATTGGCAATGTAGAATTCTTTTCTGCTATTAGTTGTTCGATATTCTCTCAATTTCATTGGGAAATGCGCATTTTGTGTATCCGAAAAATTGTTTTTACTTCCATACTTAGTAATTGAGTCGATCGGACGAATTGCCACTTTTATGTTTTCTCGACGTTTCGTGACCCCTACACTACAAAAAAGTAGTCTCCCGTTTCCGTCTGTCTGTCTGTCACGTAATCTCCGAAACTGCTGGACCAATTGTTGTCAAATTTTGTACGTATGTTAGAAATGGTTAATGTTAGATGGTTAAATGCTAGCCAAAATTTGGCTAATCATCCCCACCAACAATTTGATGACGTCACATCAATGAACCGTATTTTAAAATGAGTTGAATGTTATACTTGTAGTATATGAATCCGCTTTCAGTTTTTTCGCTTAACGTTCAAATTTTCGCAAAAACAGTTGCACGGTATAATAACGTTATCTTTGTTTTTTTTTTGTAATATATAGAGTTTTCTTTCAACAACAGGAAAGCTAAACACGTTTTCAGTTTCTTCGTGAGAAAAGAAGATTTGGTATATTAAGAAAAAACGAAAAAAGGATAAGCCCCGCCCACCCGCCCCTTCTCAATTCTGATAAATGTTTTATTCATCATGAGTCGAAGGGCGGAATTTAGTTTGCAAAATCTTCATTTCTCTACAAGAAATTACCATACGAAATATGTTTTTAAAATGGTAGAATTTTTTGGAGAAATATTGATATTACAATTAAACTTCGGTCTGATTAAGAATGAAAAACACATCACAATTGAGATCGGGGTGGGTGGGTGTTGTTTAATTTTTGTTTTTTTTTCTTTATATACGTAGTATTCTTTCAACAATTTTGTGGCGCAAAAAACAAGAGATATTATAATAAAAAACATAAAGACAATCTATTATCCAGTGACTTTGGACTGTACTCCCAATGTAAGTCACGAAGAATAACTTTCTCGTTTTTTTCGAAATGAAAAACTGAAAAATCTAAAAATTGAAAACTTGAGAAACTCAAATTGAAAAATTGCAAAATCTAAAAATTGAACAAACTTGAAAATCTTCGCAAAACAATTGCACAGTGGAATAACGTTTTCTTTGTTTTTTTTTTAATACATAAAGTTTTCTTTCAACAACAGGAAAGTTAAACATGTTTTAAGTTTTTTGTTGGGAAAAGAAGATTTGGTATATTAAGAAAAAATAGACAAAATATAAGCCCCGC